AGTGTTAACTATGATGAGTGTAGTACAGGGGGATTGCTTATTTGTAATATTCACCACTCCCACTTTTCCCGTTATGCACTTTGGTTGTGTGATGCTCACTCCCAAACACAAGGAACTTTGCGGACTTTTTTTATCATCCCACAAGAAATTAAAGTATCGTAGACAGTGATAATACAAAATGCTTGGCCTTTGTGGGGAGAGCATAACACAAACAAAGTTCATTGTGGGGAATGTGGAATTTGTGAGTGGGGCATTCAGCATTGGTACAATCTAATGATTAGACCACTGTACATTTAGTAGCACATTTACTAACCCATTGGACAAAGAAATCCACTCAGAATCTGTGCCCAATTTGCCATGTTTTAAGTAATTCTCTTTTCTCTATCTTATGTTTCTTTGTTTGTAACATTCACTTGATGACATTATAATACATATTACCACCTGTAGTGTTGAATAAATAACGTAAGAAAAAACAAAAACAAAAAGTCCGTGTCAAACATGAAATGCTCCAAATATTTCAAAGGCACAGTGATACCAAATATATTTTTCCAACTTCTGACTTTAATATTTTAAAAATCAAAGACATTCCTGAAGGAACAACAGTGTAAACCGCAGCTTAGACCAATATTTTGAAAACGTACAGAGATATTGGTCTAAAGTTTTGAGATGTCACAGACATTCGAGTGGTAGGAAGCATTTTTTTGGTGCCTAATTAAATGCTCTCATTCAGTACTGTAAGACCCCCTGCTGGAGCTACAACTGTAAAATAACCTCCCCCAACCCTCCACTCCCTTTCCTTCTCCTACCCTAAAAAATCTGAAATAAAAATAGCCATGGCAAAATCCGGCATTGATTATTTTAGAACATTTTTATTCTTGAGAACGAATACAGCAAAATTTGGACTCCATATGAGACTGATTTTGCCCTTTATTGTAAGCTTTTCAAATAAAGAAACACTGCATACATTTTTCATTTCGCTGGGCAAAAGTTCAAAATGAAAATGATTCACATTTTGGCTCTCAATGAGTTTTGAATAAGTCCGTTTTCTAATAAGCCCCCAATTGGAAGCCCTGCCAATCAATAAGACCCTCGCTTGCTTATTAGAGCGTTTTTTAATGGCATACAAAATTTAATGTCCAAACAATTTCAACATTTTGCAGAGCCATTTCTCTGCAAGTTTTTAACATACTGCTCTCAAACCTGACCAATTTGGCAATAACTGATAACAAAGCCTCTTACCAGCAGTGTCAATGGTTTTTGTAGCTGTTGTATCCTAAACTGACAAAAATCTTAAAGGTTTAATTGATCTCTGTGAAAAGTGCATTTTTTTAGTCCTGCTTTAGCATCCTTTTACTGCCAACAATACACAGCAAAAAGGACGAATTTACAGGGCCTTGCTGACTTCTCTGCGCCATGACTCCTGCTCCTTTGCAGCTGGTTTCTAGTTTTATACTACAACATGAGAAATTTCTGCAATTTGATTGTCTTAGAGCAGTGGTATTTCAGCTTAATTTGAAATACCTACACGTGAAAATTACAAACCTCTTGCGGGTAGTGGTATAAACAGCTAATAGCATGATTTGTACGTGATATTTGGCATACATACCACTAACGATATTTCAAAATTGTCTCAAATTTCACTCGCCTAACCGCTCGCGAAATTTCGTATAACAATTTCGAAATATCACTCGTGTTATTTATGCCAAATATCACTACAAATCATGCTATTACCTATACTAATTAAAATTATTATCTAATAGTTGTTATGTTATAGTTACATATTTTCCACAGAGGAAGCCATCCAGGGCACTGGCAAGAAGAAGTGTTCAAGATATGTTCACAATGTGCTAACATTTATCATACCACAAGTTTATTAGAAATATAAAACTTTGCAGCTATTCGTGAAAAATGTACACTAAATTTGTACTTTAATTCCAATTTTTGTATACTGTTAATTCATGGCCTTCACATATAGCTATATATGGCAGACCAATTTAATCCTTTCTTAAGTTCGTTGCCTCAAATTACGTGGTTGCGCATTCAACATTTTGTCGTTATTCACTGTGGCCTACGATATTTTAGAGGGCATTAAAACATTCAATCACTCATTAATAGTTTAATAGTATTGTATGTATAAGTGCCAGGCATTCAAGATAAATGTCTACACCATACTTATGGCTCTCACGTAGAGGGTCTATTGAATTTTCAAGTGATGATTAATCACCTGGATGAAGGGATTTCTGGTCATAGGAACTTCCACCATGACATGATCATCAGTTGGGTCGTTTGTTGCAGGACCATCACAGTCGACACTATAGTATTCTCCCTTTAATAGACTAAGAAGAAGGGAAAACAATGTGCTTGATGAATGGTATGTTTTCTGTACAATAATATTATCAGACAATATTATTCTTCATCAAGCACCACAGTTTCATTGTCCAATCCTCTTACATGTTACTCAACAATTATTCTTTGAAATGGAGGTGAATAGTGGCTGAATAGTTACCAGGCTGCAAATTCAAAATAATGTCAGTCTTATTCTTGCTGATCCCCAAAATATAAGCACGCGATAGCTACCAGTTTACCTTTATCTTCCACATCGGCGGCCAAATACATAATGCATTTGGCTGCCTGTTTTGCCCACTTGGGTATTCATCAATAAGAGGAGACTAATGGCTGTCATTAATTCAACCCATTCCTTCTTGTATAGTGTTTGTAGTATAATTGCTTTATGATGTGTTCTCTACCGCTGTGCTTTCTGTTTATATAAACCTGCACGCAACTCTTCAGTGTTTTGTTTTGTCCATCTTGGTGGTAGAATAAATAGAGTGATTTTGGGGCCAGACACTTTCCCCCCTTTGACTTCCATGAACAGAGATACTTCTATCTAAACACAGAAAACATACTGTATTGTTGTCCAAATCATCATGCTTTAGCTGACGTTTGTTTCCAGAACAAACAAACAAAAGGTCTTAAAGCATTCCCGTTTAAAGAAACACGTGCCTGCTCTTCTTCCCTGTCAACATCTTGCGACAAATCATCACTGAGGAAATTGTGGGAAATCCGCCATCCCAAAGACCCAGTCTCCTGCAACTGAAGGTGATATCAGACCTATATGTCTAACGCCCTTTCAAAGGTTTTAGAGGCTTTTGTGGTTACGTGGGTGATTGATGATGTCAGGCATAAGATTAACTCTTAACCAGTTACAAGTACATCCTCCGTGTTTTCCCTCCTCAACATGATGCACACCAGGTTGTCTTAACTGGATTCACCTAATAAACACCTCCGACTTTGGTTCTTGGACTTTTTGTAAGCCTTTGACCCTGTTGGTCTCAACAGGCTGATTAGAAAACTGGTAGAGTTTGGCCTTAGATGATGTCTTATACCATGGATCACCGGTTTCGTCTTAAACCGAAGACGTGTTGAAGTTGGACAGGTGTTTTCAGATTGGCTGCCAGTCAATGCCCATCTGCCCCAGGGAACTTAAGTGGGTTCTATGCTCTTTCTCATCACGATTAATGACTAATCTATACCCATTCCTGAGACGAATTTGTGGAAGTATGTCGACGATGTTTCCTTATCGGACTGTCTCATGAAGAACGAAGGTGTGTCCATTTGGTCCACATTAGACACTGTCAACTCCTGGGCTTTGATAAACCTGATGAAGCTTAATGCTAAAAAATATAACGTATTACTGGTGTTTCTTTGAAAAGACCTGTAAGCTACTCCCTTTGTGAATTAATGGTCAAGTACTCGAAACAGTTTGGTCGCACAAGGTTATAGGTCTGTTTATCTCTGTCAATCTGATTAGAATAAGCACATGAAAGGAGGATATTACCATCTTCCTAGCATGCTTTGCGTCTATTTTGGGGAGATTATTTGTGGTCTGCGTGATGAAAACATAAATCTTCGGTGAAATTTTCGCCACTTTAAGGACGAAATATGGAGATAAAGTAGGTGTTTGCATAATTTCTTATCTTTCACTAGGAGGGCAGAAAGATTTCTTGATTAAGCTATCCTGTTTCTTAAGATTTGACTGTGTGACCTTTTACTCGTCATGTGTCGCTGCTTATACCGTAAACTGCTGCTTATAAGCCCTGGGCTTATACAAGTTCGTAAGGGGTTTTGGGTGGGCTTATAATCGGGGGGGCTTATATCCGGATGGGCTTATAAGCGGACGAAAAAACTTTCTAAATGAGCAACAGCACTGTTGATCAACGTATGATGTAAATTTATTACTCTTACAATTGAAGCCTTAAAAAGGCAGCAATAAATCGAATTCAGTTAAATTTCAAAACAAAATTAACACTGTAACAACACGAACGTAACTGGAACCCAACAAAACAGAAGTCCAGAGCTCATCCCTGCCGTCATTAGTTAAAGTGTTAATGTCTAGTTCACAGTGGAGAAGCTTCTCGTTCTTATAAAATGACGGTTTAATTTCTAGTTTACTGAGTGGTGTGGCCTTCTGCTTCTAACTCATCATCCTCATTATTATCATAAACATCATCGTCTGGGTCATCACTCTCCAGATGAAACTCCACAAGGTCTTCAAGGACTTCATTAGCTGATGGCATCTTGTAATTGGGAATTCCCTCAATGTTAATGTCATCATCTTCTGATCCACTAAGATCAAGAGAAATTCCGCACTTCTTAAAGCTTCTTATGATGGTGTCTTTGCTCTGGTTTACTTCTTGCCACCCTTTACCCACCCACTTGGTTAGAAGAACTTGCGTGTCGGATGCAGTCAATTTGCCTTCAGTGAACAACTGCAAGTTTTCACTCATGTGAGCCTCATGTTGGCGCTTTACTTCGTCTTTAAAAGGTTTGTTAATGCAGACATCTAGAGGGTTGAATTCTACTTGTGCAGCCTGGCGGAACATTGACTAGTTCAGTCTTGTAATTACGCAAGGCAGTTTTTACAGCATCCATCTGCTGAGCGAGCGACATGGACATCTGCCACCAAAATCTTTCCCGTTGACGAAGCACAGTGAGGATTTGTGAATACATTAGCCCATTCACTCGCAACCCACTTTTTCATAATTGCCTTGTCACACCATCTTTTTCTTGAAACATAATGCAGACCCTTTTAGCCCAGCCATCTCTCTCAGTCTTGGAAATTCTCTTCCCTTGTCCTCGAAATATTATGGTTGGCCTTACTCGTTGCTTACCATCAGCAAACACTGTTAATTAAACCGTGCACTGACGCTTGTCTAAACCTGAAGCTGCACTTGCAGACCAAACTTCGTTTGATCCAGCGTTATTGTATGTCTTACCATCGTCTGGCAAAGGAGTTTGGTCCATATTTGCAATGTCACCGAGTTGGAAATTACCACGTCTTCGTACTCTTGGCAGTTTGGCGTGAAACTTGAAAATAGTCGCACTCAAATTGACAGGAGCATGCTGTGAAGCATGGGTGATTTTGCATAGACTTATGTTGTTTCTTTTGCAAAATTGTCTGATTCACTTATCAGAATATTTGAAATCTTTGACATCCGGATAGAGCTCATTCATCAATTGCTTTGGTCGGTTGTCAAACCACCCTCTTTTTACTTTTTGTCCTTCCTTTCTCAGGTCTTAAAATTCTTTGTATAGCTTATCTTCCATAAAAGGACATCTCGCATTACATCCCCGACCATCTGCTTTGGATCTGCTCTTCTGCTTCGTTATTTTCTCCTCTTTGTGAACCCACAAATGCACTTGTTTGTGATCAACTGCAAATTTCCTTGCTGTCCGAGAAATGTTTTTTCCGTCTTAGTAGAAATCTTTAATGACTCTCAGCTTGAATTCATGATCAAATGGACGCCGTGTCTGTGACGACTTTTTACTGGTATTGCTCTTAGATGGCTGGTCATTATCTTGAACTACTTCAATGTCTGTCTCTTCAATATGAATCACTTCTGCCGTCATGGTGGCCTCTACACAATCTCCACAATCTGCCTTACTCATTATGTGACCTATGGTATGGTATACGAGCATAAATGACGTCATGTGCCATTCGTTATGATGTCATCTATTATCCCTTTGCTATCAATTCTCAATATTTGAAGACGTGGGGGTTGACAGCCCTGCAGAAGTCACAGGAGAGGGAGTAAGCACAAAGAATTAACAGCCTTAATAGCTGAGCGGTCAGTGCCAATTACCCAGTTTATGTCTTCAAAGGCAGCATCTTCATCTAGCTCTGACAAACCTGGTCCTTTGATGTCTTGTGGCTTACATTCCAGTCCTTCAGTACGTGATGCAAGTGCTGAAACACCAAGCTCATCTGCTTTTCTTTAGGAAACGGTCGAAAAACAGTCGAAAACCAGTCAGTTAGTAGCACAGTCAAAAAGTCATCGGAGTTCCTCAAAACGAAAACTTCAAGAAGCTTCTAAAATCGACAGCGAAATAGACCAGAAGCTGCAGACTTTTGCAGAAACGTAGCAAAAATGCTACATAGTTTATTGGTTTGTTTAGGTTGTTTCAGTTTTCCTGGCTATTACCGGTCCTGGATTTTAGTAAATTGGTCCTAGAAAGTCCTGGAAAAGTCCTGGAATTTTGATGGACCAGTGGTGTACGAACCCTGGGTCACCGTCATTCCTTCTTTTAAATCTATGCTCTTCTCAATGATAAGGCGTGTTGGTGCTATTTCTGTCATCTTTTCGTCTCAGAAGAAGAACAGAGCCTTGCAGGATAGCCTACCTGTTTCTTTACACAACTGTCTTAAAGTTAAAGCCATTTCGGATCGAACGATGTCAAACATACAGTGTCTCAAACTCAAATTGGTCATACGTTAGAAACGCTTATGAAACAGTTAAGAGAAAAACGCTCTATACCAAGAATGCTTAATGAGGAGTATCGAAAATCCAGCTTTTTGATTAGAGTAATTGAGTTTGTTTTGTAAGAGGTTATTAACATAAGAAAGCTGTATGTCCTCATCATTTTACATCACCAGAGCGGACGGCTGAGGAATCACTTTCACTTAATCAACCAATGAATAACTGAGTCCTGTGGATGTTTCAGACCAGAAAGAAAGTGTCATTCTAAACGCTGCATATTTTGTAGGCTTTCAAAAACAGCAATTGCAGGTTTACATACACCACAGTCAGAGGAGTTCTATAGCATGTCACTAGGTTCAGGTTTTTTTTGGAGAAACAGGCATATAAGAAAGGATATTAAATGAACATTCATTTTCGAAACAGTATATAGTTAAACTTGCAAAATTGGTTTGCCAAAACTAGAGGGCCGATGTTTTCAACGAAGTCTTTCAGACCACGGCTTAAGACAATCGGTAACCTTCCAGTGAATTTGTTTAAAAATGAATTATTTTAGGGAGATAAATAGTTTTCTACTCTGCGTTGTATGCATTCTTGAAGCTGCTCATAATTAACAGTATTTATAAGTGCTAGGATTAGCCTAAACTTTGCGCACGGTGAATTGATGAAACTATAAGCATGCAACAAAACAATGCTCGCACAATCAAATATTTTAAATTAGCGTGTTGCACATGATAGGTACATGTACTGAAAACAGTGAGCTAAAAATGTTGAGACAGAGTTATGCTGTGTTTACACTCTCATCGTGAGTCAACATTTTAACAGTCGAGGACTTTTACTGTTAACCCAAATTGCCGAAATAATTTTTTAAACATGCTTCACTGTTTACATGCTCATATGCAAATTCCAAGTTAACATGGCCTCCAGTCTCAAAATACTTTTCGAGAAACTCAGTGAGAGAACATGATATAAATTCAACTTACTCATTAGACAGAAATAAAGACTGTATTCCATATTCGATTCTGTATTATATATGCAATTGGTGAGTCTCGGATTCTACGTCACCCCTAGTAACAAGCATTAATCCACACTGGTTTACTTCTACCATGAGATTTATTTTACAAGTTCATAATAATGTTACATACAGATTTCAATTCGTGTCATACGTAAAAAGAGTCATATACAAAGTCAATGAAGCTTCACATGTATGCATAAACTCCATCGAGTTACAATGTTCACGGGGCTGGTGCTACAATAATATCCTCAATATCCTCAGTCCCTGGTTTAAAAATTGTCTAATCTTGCGGTAAAGGTAGTTCTTTCCTTCCTCAGTAAGCCCTTCAGAACTGACCATACGAGGAAGGGTTGTTGGAGGTGGCAGACTCGCATTGTTCTTTAGGAACACAAAAGATTGTTCAGGGCTTGTTACAAACTCCTTGAAATACACTTTTCCAGGGATTTCCTTTGAAAAACGAAAATGGTGGTAGCTCTTTATATTTGGCAACTTTCTGAAGTATTGTCCAAGAAACGAAGCCCAGTCGTAAACAGGGACAAGAATTCTCCCCTCGTGTCCCAACGAGTTGAGCTTTGTTCAATCCTGAAGTACTGGAAGTGTCAACAAGTCTCGCAAATTCATAAAGTGAAGAGCCGTACGTGAGTTTGTATGCCTTCTTGATGAGGCCAAAATAGTGATCCGGAGCAAACTTTGTATGTCCTGCTATCAGAAATGAGTAAGTAATTGAATGATGAAGTTTCATGAAAGTCCTCCATGCTAAATACCAGAGGAAGTTGTTGTTTTTGTTCTGCCCTGTGCAATTATCCGCGTTAAGATAGACATCAGTTTCCTGGAGTCCATGATGTTCAAAATAATAATGTATATAACTGATAGTTGCGTTTGCTCCCTTTCCAGTAGTAACAGCTTCGTCAATAAGAAAGTTCACTTCTCTAGGTACTCCTTCACACATAACTCCGAATATTCCACACTTTCGCAGGGTAAAATCGGCCCAGGTTGCATTGGGTTGCAGGACATGTGGACCTGTTTTGCGTAATCGAATGAATAGTGAATTTTTGCATTTAAAAGAACAAGTGCTGTGGTTTTCACTGTTTAGTAGTGTCACTCCTATCATTTCGATTGCCTTCTCCGATTGGGCGCAGGAGTGTTTATAGAACTCTTGTTCAGTCTGTGGGCGGTTCAGGTGCTGTTGATGTGTTCTTAAACGTTCCGATTTTTCCCTGTCTGATAGGTTGCTGGCTCTTTGAAGGTGGCTAGTGTTCTCTTGGCACGTCAAACAGAGCTCTGTCATTGGTTTCACTACGACCACATTAGGATAAAACTCCTCCCACAGTCACTACTAGGAGTTACCCTGTGAAAAAGCATGTGAATGGCATGTGAAAACCATGTGAACAGATGCACAGTTTTCACAGGTATTTCACATAGTTTTCACTGAGTATTTCACAGGATTTTTCACGGGTATGTGAAAAAAGCTGTGAAAAAGCCGTGTGAAAAACTTGTGAAAACCATGTGAAACGGGCTCCCCCTTTTCACACTGTATTTCACATATATAGTATGTGAAATAAATAGTGAGAAACATATGAAAATGATAATTTATGGGTCACTGATAAAACAGAGGAAAGAAAATTTGAAATGAACTTTGTTATTTCTATTCCAAGACTGTAAGCTCTTAACAAAACAAAACTAAACTATCTCGACAAATCTCGACAAGTCTCGAGTCAAGTTCCATCCAAGAGTCCGAGTTCAACCACAACGTCACATGACCGAAACACGTGATAATTGTCAGGACGTACATAATGTAACGCAACTCGAAATGTCACTAACAAACTTACCTGTGAAATACCCTGTGAAAATATAAAAAACATAGGTCTCTACAAAAGGTATGATCTTGTGAAAAGGGATGTGAAATAGCCATAAAGCTGGCAAACACCCTGTGAAAAAGTATGTGAAATGAACTAACCTGTGAAATATCCTGTGAAAATATAAAAAATAATTGGTCTGCGGCCTACAAATTAAAAGGGATGATAGCACGCGTACCATCCTCTCATGAAAAGGGACAAGAAATAACCATAAAGCTGCTTGGGAACACCAAGTGATAAAGTACATGAAATGAACTTTTAAGCCTCAGAAGTAATTAACCCAGATTAACAATTTAAGGCTATATTAGCATTAATATATTGTACATGTCTGATCTTTGATGTAAGCAATTATGATTGTTATGCAGCAAAAAACATGTACTCAGATCACGATGAGCATTATACACAGTACATACAGTGCTTATGACTAGCTTTTGCAATCAATTGTTCAATTAAAAGTAAGTCATTCTAGTTAATCAATTCACCCCTGTTCTCATGCAACATTTTATAGACTCATGATCAAATAGTTCATGGTTTCCATCTGGTCAGTCATGCAATGCAATCAAGCTGATTCAATAAAATGATGGAATCAATCGGCTGAACTTAAATAAGTCAAAGGCCTGCAGGAAGCGCATCCCCCATATGCAGCTGACTGATCATGGAATCAGTGGATCCAAAATGATTGGTGTCAACTGCCTCCTCAGTCATGGGAATGTCATGTTATCAATATATTTACTATTAAAAATGGTCATAATTTGACTGGAAATGCTTTTTATTTCAATCCACATACAGTAGGCTGGTAACTGCATCCATGTATAAATGGTTTAAGAACAAAGCAAAAAATATTGTTTATTGTTTATTGTTTTGTTTGCCCAAAAATTGTACAAATCAAATAAAATCTAATTACTTAAAGTCTCATGGCGAGGAAGCCCAAGAGAAGCCACCGGGCTCATAAGGAATGGCCTCCCTCAGTTAGATAATTAGAACAAAATATTATCATAATTACACATGGGAAAATCAATGGCAGAGCTACAGTAAATCTTAAAATAAGGATATTAGATAGTCGTACTAATCCTAGTTCTAGGCTAAAAAAAAGGAAATGACAAAAAGATAAAAAAACAAAAAGAAAATAAAAGAACAAAGGAAGAAAAAAAATACATATGTATATATATATATATATGAATTACTATTTATGATAAGAGAAATGCTTTCAGCTTACAGCAAAAAAAGCGGTCCTTGTTGCATTTCCATTTTCAAAACTAAGAGAGTTAAAAATTTAGGACCTTGGAAACTGATGGAGAACTTTCTTATATTAGTCCTGCATTGTGGTAAATAAAAATGCTCCTAACTTCTAGTGCCATAAGAATGCACCTGGCATGTCACCAAAAACATGTTATTGAAGCTATAAGGAAGTAAGCCAGATCTGTATTGATACATAAATTTTCCTATTTGAAGTTTGTAGATACTCTCAAGATTCAGAATTTTTAAATTTTTAAAATAAATAAGGGGTCAGTGTGAGCATCGAAAGCACTCCTCGACATTATTCTTACGACCCGTTTTCTGTAAACAAATAAAAAAGTCACACAATTAAATGTCAAGGATTTCTTTTTGCTTCCTTTTGCGTTTCTTTTCATCTAAAGGTGGTGTGTTTGATTGTTTTTGTAGTGATCATCATAATCATCTGCAGCTGGCACCAAGACCCAGCCCTTGGGCATCTTTCGTTTACCATAGCCAGATGTTGTTGTCTCACTAGCAGCTTTTGAGGCTAAACCAGCTGCTGTCCCAATTGTTGTTGCCTTAGTCGGTGCTTTCTCAGCTGAGATTTTGTTTGACAGAGCTTTGCAAATTGTGGATGGTACTGAGGTTTGGGTTGCATCTTTACCACTACAAGCACTGACCTCACCACCTGCACCTGTACCAATTATTGTTGCCTTAGTTGGTGCTTTCTTAGCTGCTGAGCTTTTCTTTGATAGAGCATTGTTGACAACAGCGTTGCTACTTGTAGATAATGCTGAGGTTTAGGTTGCAGCCCCACCAGTGCTAGCACTGCCCCCGTCACCTGCTGTCCCAGTTGTTGTTGCCTTAGTTGGTTCCTTTTTAGCTGAGCTTTTCTTTAATGGGGCTTTGTTGACTACAGCTTTGGAAATGGTAGATGGTGCTGAAGTTTGGGCTGCAACTCCACCTGTAGTGTTAGTTAGTGTTAGTTGTACATGTGGCTGGCCTCGTTTTGTGCATTCTTGCCCATGGTCCTTTTTTGGGGGGCTAGAGGCCAGTAGAATACCTCATTATTCTGAAAAATGAAGAGCAAGTATATGTTCATTATCGGGCAAACTTATAATACTCAATCAAAACTAAGGGGCACGATGCCTTTAGGGTATGTAGCCTTCAAGAGCATCCGGTTTTTGTGGCTTATTAGTAGGATACTTCAGTACCATCTACCATTTTGAACCATATATAGTTAGTATTTTTTATCTTAGTTCCAGTGTTGGATGCCAAAAACGACTTTTAAACACAACGTGAAACAGTTTTTATTAAACCATTTGAACCGAGGTTAGTATATGATTGTTATTTTTTAATCTTAGTTGTAGTTTTCGTTTTTTTGCCGTATTTTAGTTTTATTTTAAGACAGAATCCACTAGGAAATTGATAAATTTTAATCTTCAGTGGACATAAACCTTTTACCACAAGAATAATTTAAACAATATCCCATTCTTTTTTACATTTTTCAAGGCCTATAGATGTAATTAGTTATCTGTAATAACACCTGAAGAGACAATTTTTTTTATGAGAGCGCAAGAAAATAAAATTTTAATGTCAAATGTTACAAGATCATATGACATCGTACTCCTGAAATGTTCAGAATTTTATTGTGTTTTC